AAAGATGAGAAGATCCTCTCTGTCCCCCAGGAGCTCATGGCCTGGTCAGATGGGAGATCCCTGGGCTGATGCAGGGAAGTGAATGATCTGAGAAGGAGTTATTCTGGAATAAGAGAGAACCTTGAATAAACAAATGGGAATTCATGGGACTAGTAGGCTTCTCCTTGTTTACTTACCTGAGACTTCATCCATGTGATTTTTTTTTTTAAGTTTTTTTTTTTTAAAGATTTTATTTATTTATTTGATAGAGAGTGAGAGAGAGAATGACAGGGGAGAGGGTCAGAGGGAGAAGCAGACTCCTCAGGGAGCTGGGAGCCCGATGTGGGATTCGATCCCAGGGTTCCAGGATCGTGACCTGAGCCGAAAGCAGTCGCTTAACCAACTGAGCCACCCAGGTGCCCCCATCCATGTGATTTTTTTTTGAAGACAATCAAAACCTCTATAAGAAATTCGTTTATCAGGTTACATTCCTAGAAACAGAAGATGCCCTTTGAATTTTAAATACATAACAAATAATACCATATATTGTGGTCAGTTTAGTGTACTAGACTATAGTAAAAGTGAATCAGTTTTAAGTATATAAACAGGTTGCAAAAATGCTGGATAAGTTTACCATGAGAGTTCCATACCTGATCGTTAAAGCGTCCCAAGGTTATTTAAGGTCATGATAGCTTGGAGTTAGATCACATGCATTATGTCATCCTTCCAAATGTCCTCTATTTCCTGTTTAGAACAAAATACTCACCTGGACATTTTAAATCCTATGGGGTCACTTTCAGGCACAAAAAGGTAATGAAGAGGTATACCTCATACTTTATTGTTGTCTCAGTTGCATTTATGTTCTATTTTAGATGTTTGTAGTATATTTTATATGTAAGACCAAATATATACATACATGCACTGGTAAGTAGATATGCAGATATTGGAGGGTGTCATCTAAAATTATTGTTGTCTCTTTGGTGGGCTGAATTTGGTCATGAGTGATAAAAAGCCTAATAATCACTAGGCCAGGCACAGTTTACTTATTTACCTTATTTACTACTTTACAAAAGTGGGTAGGTGGTCTGAGAGTTAGTATAATGGCCTAGTAATTCCATTAAGAAATTTTTCTGTCTTTCCATTGACATATTTGGCATGATGCCTTACAAGTGTAAACTTTTACCTCACAGTGAATTTTATTTACTTCGCCCAATACCTTGTGATTTTAGGTGAGTGATAAATGGACACTGTGTAGTGAAGTGTTTAGGTAAATTCTAAGGTTTCATATTTATTGATGATTGCAGTCTACTGATAGAAGGAGAAAGCCTAGCATTCTGTTACTGTTTATTGGATTAAGATGTTAAAAATTAAGATGTTAAAAAAGAGCCTGGGTGGCTCAGTGGGCCTCTGCCTTTGGCTCAGGTCATGATCCCAGAGTCCTGGGATCAAGCCCCGCTTGACTCTCTGCTCAGCAGGGAGCCTGCTTCCCTTCCTCTCTCTCTGCCTGCCTCTCTGCCTACTTGTGATCTCTGTCAAATAAATAAACAAAATCTTAAAAAAAAAAAAAAAAGATGTTAAAAATACTTAACGGTGGTGTTTCCTTGAATCCAATCAAGTCATTACAAGGGATAAACATGTGTATTTGTGTTAAGTTTTGGATTCTCTAAGCTATGGAAATAGAAAACCTGAGTACATGTTAAGCCTGACATCTCTGTATTCTCTCACCCAGGACTTTTGCAGAGGCATTTGCTTGGGCTTCTTCTGAAGCACTGAAATGTGCTGATAGACGATAACGTGATGGGGAAGGCAGTTGGTAGAATGGGGAGGTAATCGCTGGAGACAGCATTTGTCAGATGAAAACTAATTGATTGTAATTGCTTTGCCATTGTATTGCTCTTGGAGTCTGTAGCTTGTTAAAACCACTGATTGTAAAATAAGGATCTCACTTTTTATGCTGTAGGTTATGTTAATGAAAAGCTGTTCTTAGAGGAATGATCAGTGAATATCAATAAATGGGTAATAAGAAATTAAAGGAAAACTTAACTAACTGATCATGAGTTAATATACTTCAGCAGTCAGGGTAGCAATCAACTGTGTGGTGTTTCATATTGAATATTTTGCTCAGAGCTCTTGAATTTTAAATATTTCCAGTAGAAAGAAAGATTGATTCTGTGTAACTATTTATTGCAAACTATCTTGCATAATGGATCTTCTCTGTAGAGGAGATCTCCTGGAAAACAGAAAATGTGTCTGTTTTGCAGAGCCTTTATTTTGTGCCAAAGTATTAACAGATAGATATTTTGAAGTGGAAAAATAAGTTTCTGTTGTACTACCAAAAATAGAGGATATTAGATGTGGGCTGTTTCGATGCCCAAATTATATGAGCAGTATATAAGTGAAGACTTCTGTGAATCTGAGGACGATGTGTGTTTTTCCAATATTCCTCAATATTAAAGTAGGTATACTAAAATGGTAATATTGGTGTGAAATTATATCTAACTTGTGAGATATGCATTAACTCTTAAATGATTGTGATGGTGTCTTTAATGATCATATCTTTTACCAAGGGCATTTAAAGTGTTAGCAGTGTTAGAGTGATCCAGATTTATTGAAGACATTTTTTCCTGAACACCAATTGTGATTCAAGGCTCCACCTCTGATCTTAAGGAAACACACAGACTAAAGAAACAGATAAACATGTGAACAAATGGCTACTTGCAGCATTGAATGTTGAAGCAGTGATGTGAGTGATAAAAGGTGTTCTGGAGACACAATGGGAAAGTAAACTTTAAGGATTTCTAGTTGTCTTCCAGCAAAGAAAAAGATGGTCCAGGAAGAAGAAGCAGTGTGACAGTTCCTGGTGTTTGGAGAAATAGAAAAGTAATTGGTAATGAAGTTGTGTGTCTTGGGTCACAAGATGACACCAGAGGGCAAATTCCACATGGTTTATGTGCGTCTCTGAGGAATTTGGACTTATTCCTATGGGGATAGGGGTCCGCTGAGGATTCTAAGATGTGGGAAGGGTATGAGTGAATTTCCTTTTAGGGCAGTCACTTTCCCCTCAGTTTGGTTAAAGAACAGGAAAAGAGGCTCACAGTGGCTTCCAGTTACTGAGCTGGTTGGTTATAATAACCCACGTTATTGAACATTATTGTTAATCTAGATCTGAAAAAGGGAATTAAAGGAGCTTGAATGCAGAATCATTTATTCACCTTTGACTTTTTATTTTATTTTATTTTTTAAATATTTGTTTATTTGAAAGAGAAGGAGAGAGAGAGAGTATGAGCAGCGACAGGGAGGAGAAGAGAGAGAGCATCTTAAGCAGACTCCCCACTGAGCCTGCAGCCCGACTCCAGACTCGATCTCATCACCCTGAGATCATGAGCTGAGCCGAAATCAAGAGTTGAGCACGTGACTGACTATGCCACCCAGATGCCCCCCTCTTTGACTTTTTAAATATATTTTTTCTCCAATGTGGCAGTGGAGTTGGTGCTAATACTTCAGTTGCTTAAAACTGTGAGAATAGGGGCGCCTGGGTGGCTCAGTGGGTTAGAACCTCTGCTTTCGGCTCAGGTCATGATCCCAGGGTCCTGGGATCGAGTCCCGCATCAGGCTCTCTGCTCAGCGGGGAGCCTGCTTCTCTGTCTCTCTCTGCCTGCCTCTCTGCCTACTTGTGATCTCTGTCTGTCAAATAAATAAATAAAATCTTAAAAAAAAAAAAAAACTGTGAGAATAGAATATGTGCGTGTGATAACAGAGTATGTATCTAGTAGATAGGACATACTTATGGCTAGTTTCATATTTAGGAAAAGGATGCAGACATACAGCTTAATTTAAAAATTTTAGTAATTATGATTTTAAAGCAAATGTTTAAAATAATGCTTAAAAATGACAGTAATTTGGTTCTGTTAGGTATATGCCAGAAACATTCTTCACATTTGAGGTTCTGTTTCAGAATTTGGAATATTTGCATTTTAATTACATAAGAAAAGGGGAAAAAAAGTAGAAGAATAATTGGTTCAGCTATTAGCCCATTAGAGCTGTAACTAAAAACAAACAAAAAACTCTTAGAAACTGACATCGGTTTCCACAGAACAGTCGCAATATGCATTGATCAGATGTTTAATGACATTTGGCAACAATGAAGGGAAGGAGATCCTGTTTCAATCTTTCATGCAACATGTTTGTTAAAAACTGAGTGAGCGAAAGCGGGTTTGAGGTGTTTGACTGCAGAATCATTCCACTTTTACTGTTATCGTGTCCTCAGTGGGGGCTTATAGAGTGATTCCAATTGCTAAAATGTAGTGGAGAAATTTAGAAAACTGAATACAGTGCTTGTCTAAGTAAGCCGGGGCTGTTTTAACACACAGAAATTTATTTCTCACAGTTTTAGAAGCTGGGAAGTCCAAGATCTAGGTGCCTGGAGATTGAGTGTCTGGTGCGTGGTGAGGACTTCCTAGCTCATAGAGCACTATCTTCTTATGACTGCGATGGGCGACGGAGGTTTCTGGGGCCCTGTTATAAGGGTACTAATCCCATTCATGACTTAATCCCCTCCCACAGGCACACCTGTTGGTACCATCTCATTGTGATTACGTTTTACCCTGTGAGTTTGGGGGAACACACACCACTCAGTCATGAAACGTCATATCCAGCTGCATTTCTTCAGTCCAGTGGAGGGTCTGTGCTCTCTCTAGAGGTGAAGGGTCAGCACGTAGAAGTCCTCAGTGCGGGGCGCCTGGGTGGCTCAGTGGGTTAAAGCCTCTGCCTTCAGCTCAGGTCATGATCCCAGGGGCCTGGGATCGAGCCCCGCATCGGGCTCTCTGCTCAGCGGGGAGCCTGCTTCCCCCTCTCTCTCTCTCTGCCTGCCTCTCTGCCTACTTGTGATCTCTGTCTGTCAAATAAATAAAAATCTTAAAAAAAAAAAAAAAAAAAGTCCTCAGTGCACAGATCCCGGCCAGGGTTTTGACCTGGGATGACCGACTGTGTTGCTGACAGCAGTTCTGTGTTTCCGTTGACAGATACAACGACGTATTCCACGGAGCGGTCTGAGCACTTCAAACCCTGCCGAGACAAGGACCTCGCATACTGTCTCAATGATGGCGAGTGCTTTGTGATCGAGACGCTGACAGGATCCCATAAACACTGTCGGTAAGCCACTGGTGGCCGCCGGGGGCAGGCCCTTCGAGAGGCCTGGCGGCAGAGGGTGGTGATTGAGGTCTGGAGTGTACGTGGGATGCATTTAGTCTAGTTGTTGGAATGGCAAACTCAGGAGTCGTAATATGGGGAGGGGCAAGGCTGGTGACTTTAGTATTTGAGAAAAGTAAAACTGAATTAAAATAGACAAGATCAGAATTTTACCTAAGCAAAGACAGGTTTACATTTATATCTATCACTTTAATAGAAATAATTATTTACTCCCTTTAGAAGCCTGCATTTTTGGTGTGGGACTTAGACACATTGGCCTGTATGCAGCAATAACCCTTTCTTGAGAAACTACAGACTGTGGCAGGACAAAGCAAACTGCTCATCTAAGATCACGCAGCTCAGTGTTGATTGTGAACCAAACCCCAGACTGTAACTGTGTCCAGAGAAGACTGGAGCTCATCTTGATTCTGCCCTCATTTATTAATTTCATTATTTTTTAACACCTCTCTTGATAAAATGCTCTCCAGCAAGATGTTGTAAATGAAATCATAGTCCTGTTATAGTCGAGGTAGAGGACTACTTAGGGAAAATTCCCAGTAGAGATCAGGAGGTGTTTAATTGGTTTTTAGAGACTTAAGGTTATATAAATGCTAAAAATAAAAAACAGGTGGAGCTAAATAGTGCACTTGTAAGCACTGCAGCTTTAAGGTTCTGTAGAAGAATCAAATTAGCATCCCCAAAATATTTCCCACTGAGCTTTTATTTCCAGCACTACCCGGGTAATTTGTTTTTTTCTTGCAATTGTATATGCTTCAGTGATCATATGTGTCCACACCCCTTTCCTTCTCTTTATTTACTTTTCTCATATGACACACTTATTAAATTAATTATTCTGAATCATGAAGCATGGAAAATTATGACTTTTTCCTCTATATATTGCTATTATGAAGCTTCATTCTGTGTTGTTTTATTAAGACGGCATTGAGAAATGCACCTTGTAGTTAGGAGCTTCGAACATGTTGGCAAATTCTGCCTGACTCTAAGGGCCAGCTTCAGTCCACAAGGAAGATGAGTTGTCCCAGTGGGCAACACAGGTTTGGAAGAGCCAATACGTGACAGTGGTCTTCTGTCAAGATAAACAGGACGGGATCTGCCCTCACGGTTGAGAACATGGCTTCCATATGACTTGGGGACTACAGTACATTTACCCTACTTACAAAATTTACACCCCATTTCTGTCCTCTGTGAAACTAGGTTGGGGATGAAGGGAAGTGGGAATGCTCCTTCCCACATCCCTCTTCTTGTGTTATATTTATTAGGTCAGTGTAGACAGAGGTAGAAAGCACACAAATGACTTTAAGACCTCCAGGGAGAAGCCAAGAGTGATCTACCCACTCCAAGCATGAATTGTATCCAAGCTCTCCTAGATCCTCAACCTCACATTAAAGAGATCGTCATGTGGAAGTGGATAGTGCCGTCAGTTAAGTTTGAATTCCTAATCGATTGGTGGAGGGATTAATCAAAAGTATCACCTAAAGCAGTGACTTTTAGGATGGTGTTTTACCCAAAGGAGGGATCAAATCAGGCCCCACACAGTATGCAGGTGGGTAAGATTAATCTTTTTGAAAACTGAGAATGTTGCAAATAACAAAATAATTCTTATTCTTTTTCAACATACAGCCTCACTCTATTCTGGATTAGTTCATGGTATATTAGTTTGCTAGGGCTGCTGTAACAAAGTATCTCAGATTGAGTGGTTTAAGCAAGAGGAATGCATTTTATCAGTTCTGCAAGCTAGAAATCCATACTCCAGGTGTTGGCAGAGTTGTTTCCTTTTGGTCTCTCTCCTGGGCTTAGGGATGGCCATCTTCTTGTGTCTTCTCATTTTCTTCCCTCTGGATGTGTCTGTATTCACATTTTCTCTTCTTATAAGGACACCAGTCGTATGGCTCTATTTTAATTCACTTATCTCTGTAAAGACCCTTTCTTTAAATATGCTCGCATTCTGAGTTACTGGAGGTTAGGACTTCAACATATTAATTATTTGGGAGACAAATCCAGTCTATGATACTATGATAATCGATCTCAGGTCTGGGAAAAATGTCTTTTGCTTTTGTGCATATATGCATGCTTAATTTTTTTTTGCCTACACAAGTGGAGATACATCTATGATTCAGTGGGGGATATATATATATATCCCCCATATTATATATATATATAATTTTGACCTTCTGTCTTCATATTTCTTGCATATTTCAGCACAGACAACCTGTTATTTAACATAGAGTCACAACATAGCTAATCATGACAGAAGACCAGCCTAAGACAGAATTGGAACTCAAGTAGGTTAATAGATGTCTATAAATCTCCTACTAGAGTGTATGAATAAATCACACATTGCATGTGCCCACTATTCATCTCCTGGGCTTTGCTGTGAATAAAAAGCTTACATTTGTTCCTGCATCAGCCACTTCTAAGAATCCCCATGTAGTTATTAATAATGTGTTATTTTGTATAGCACTCTATTTAAGTACCATGTTTCATTCATTGTTCTCCATTCGGCAAATGTTTATTGAGCACCTCCTATCACCAAGATATTGTTGAATAAATACATACAGAAATGAACTTAGGAATTAAATGGTGCTGTACTTTGTAATGCACTTGGAGTAAGTGAAGTAGTTTATTGTCGGGAAGTAAGAAAAACAAGGGGAAGTATTTTCACGTGACTGGCATGCTACCGGGGGTATCTGTGATATATTACCAACTGGGCCATGTTTCAAGTTAAATAAAAAACACAATTCAGTATATTAGAGCAATGGTATGTAGGGGTGTCTGTGAATCTACAGTAAATGTTTTACTTGTGACATTCAGATCTAAGAGAAATCAAGATAATATTTTTTAATATTTTAAAAGTAAATTGCAAAATATAAATAAATAAATAAATAAATTGCAATCCTATGATAAATCCTGTGACTGGGAGCCCATGAATCAAAAAACTTTTTCTGTGTTGAAAAAGATTGATGATGCTTTAACACTTTTCAGTTTACTTGCCTAAGAATAGTAGATGCAAACCTACCTAGATCATCTCTGATAGAGATCCTGAAAGTGTTTGCTCAAATGTGTTAACAGCATGAATGTAGAGATGAGGGAGGTTTCATATTTTTCACTATTATTTTCTTACTCAATAGTGTATTTTCACATGCTATTTTTAGTATTTAGAAATTATAGAGCAAGCTAATGAAAATTTAAGAGCATACTAAGATTCTCAAAATAACCCAACAGAGGGATTTTAAAGAAAAAACAGACAAACTTGGTCTTGCTGAATTTAAAATATGCTATAAAGTCCTAGATCATTGGCTGACAGACTGGCAATACCAGAATCAGGTATGTTCTGGAACTTAGTGTAGAGTAAGGAGGGATCCATAAATCAGAAGGAAAATGAGAGCCTGATTGCTCAGTAAATTTGGTTGGTGATCAGATAAAACAAATCAAATTTGGGTTTTTACTTTCCTTCTTTATATGAAAAGTTATTTTTAATGAATTCAAGAGTTAATGTAACTAATAAAGTCTTGAAGAAAATGGTAAATAAAATTACATATTTATGACAGCAATTGAAGGGACCTTTTGAACAAAAAGCAATGGAGGGAAAAAATAAACATCCTGGCTAAACCTTGCTTTTTGGTCTGGATACTATAAATCAGAAATTAAAAGATGAATCACCAGTAAATGGTATAATAAAATATGGCAAGGAATTAATATTCTGAAGAAGTCACGTAAATCAACTAGTATAACATGAAAATTAAGTCTCAGTAGGAAAACGGACAATAAGGGGAACGTATTCTTCCCTTAAAAAGGAATACAAATAACAAATAAACATGAAAAATACTCAGCCTCACAAAGAAATGCAAATTAAATTTTTTTTTTTTTGCCTGTTATATATTTAATGATTTTAAAAAGCAAATAGTTTGCTGAGAGTAGAGTAAAAGCACATTCTCATTTACTACCTGAGGGAATACATTTTGTTAAGTATCTCCTATATGTAATGTTTCAAAATATTTATATTGTTTCTAAAAATGCAGTATACAGAAATGTGTATGTAGATTTATTTCTAAGAATATTCACCACAGGTTTATTTGTATTAGAAAAAAAAAAAACCTGAAATTATAATTTTAAATACATTAGAATACACCTATGCATTGGATGAAATCAACCTAATTGGAATTTTCATAATGTTTTAGGGCCGTGAGAATGCTCGTTATATCATGATATATATATGAAAATCAAAATATTCTAGGGGCACCTGGATGCTCAGTGGGTTAAAGCCTCTGCCTTTGGTTCGGGTCATGATCCCAGGGTCCTGGGATCGAGCCCTGCATCGGGCTCCCTGCTCAGTGGGGAGTCTGCTTCCTCCTCTCTTTCTCTGCCTGCCTCTCTGCCTACTTGTGATCTCTGTCTGTCAAATAAATAAATAAAATCTTTACAAAAAAATATTCTAAACTTGAGCATGCAATAGCAGTCCAATTCTAAAAAAGAGCTTAGTAAAAATTAAAAAAAAACTAATAGGTTTTATAACTATTTTCTTCTTCAAACATTATGAATTTTCTAAGATCTGTACATTACACACATATTTCATTTATGTAATACCTGGTTAAGACACTTGACCCCTTGCTTCTCATGTTTCCATTAAGAAAGATAGATAGTGTCCCTGGCTCTGTTAAATCAAGGTCATTATAGTTCATTATTATTAGGCTGATAAGAGAAGTTCCAATTAAGCCCTTCTAGATTAAATACTGCAAAGTCCATTTGAATGTGTCTGCTCCTTCTTTTATTAATAATTCATTTACACTTTTTACGCTAATTCTTTTCCGTGCTGAATCCATGTGTTTTGAAACCTAAAAAAAGAAAAAAAGAAATAATAGAAAGATATATCCTACAGTAATAAAGCTGGGTGAGAAGGAAAGCAAGTCACTAGAAACTTATTGAATCAAAATATTCTGAATAAA